TCTTTCTTTCTTTCTTTCTTTCTTTCTTTCTTTCTTTCTTTCTTTCTCTTTCTTTCTTTCCTTCCTTCCTCCCTCCCTCCCTCCCTCCCTCCTTCCTTCCTTTCTTCCTTCCTTCCTTCCTTATTTATCTATCTACTTTTGTATCTATCATCTTGCTGTGTAGCCCAGGCCAGCCTTGGAGTTGGAATCCTCCTGCCTCAGCTTCCCGAATGCTGAGATTATAAACACATATCATCATGCCTGGCTTCCCCTTCATATTTGATGTCCTAACCTGGAATGGTCTCAATCTCCAAAAATGGCCTAGCACCAAGCCCTATTTGATAGCTATTCACTCTCCCACTGGCCTCCAGTGACCCTTAGAACCATATAAAGCTGGCCCCGGCCTGTATGCAGGCCTCAGATATGTCTCTGTGGTGGTCACCTCCTTCCAAGCATGGGTCCTGGTCCAGCCCCAGCCTCCTCAAAAGACAAAGAGATCACTACAGGTGAGACTACTCCAACCTGTTTTTCTGTCTCCCAGAAGCCTCCCTCTGTAGATTCTCAGCCCATGCTGCTCTGTGGCACCCTCCATCTATCAGACAATGGTACAGCCTGGAGTGAGGTGTGGGCAGCCATTCCTGAGTCACATCCCCAGGTGCTACAACTGCTGGCCGGCAGTCAGGTAAGTGTCCCTGTCCTTGTTCAAGCCCAGGGCTATGTGCTATGAGATGTCCCTGCTATGAGCCTGAAGCCTGAAGTGGTCATTGCATGTCTGGGCCACTTCTTTGACCCTCTCCAGCTATGTGACCCGGGCTTGAGCTTTTCCCAATGCCCTCAATAACCCTCTGCTCCCCAAGCACGGAAGACAGGTCCCTGTACTATAAAAATCCAAAAAACAGCCAGAATGAGAACAGGCATAGGAGGGGACATAGGGGCTGGGCCCTCTTCCCCACACATTCATTCAGGAATGAATGAATTCACCCCTCGGTTCATTCATACATGTTGGGCAGATTTGTTTGGGCACTGCTGAGCTTTGCCCTGCCACTCTCAACTCCTGTTGCTAAGTAACAGGGGCTATTCTGCCTCACCTACCCAGGGACAGGGATTCTGAGAGAAGCCATGGTTCAGGGGAAGACCTCTGCTGAGATTTGTTGAGGTAGAAGGAGCCCTCACAGCACCTACCTGAGAGCGCCGATTGGGCAGCTTGTGCTGGTGACTGGCTGCAGAGTGTAGGGCTGGGCATGTCAGCCTGTTTGGGTGGCTACTGGCATGAGCCGGAGGCCCCACTGACCCTCTCTCTTTCCTACAGGCTGGCAGAGTGCTGCACACCATCCCTCTCTCTGGCTGTCATGTAATGGTGCCAGACGGCGAGACGAGGCAGGAAGCAGGGAGCTACCAGCATGTGTGGAAGATACATCAGGGTCCACAGACCTGGTGGCTGAGCGCCTCCTCCACAAAGCTGCGGCAGTGCTGGCTGGAAGCTCTGAGCAATGCTGCGTGTGGGGACATGGGTGGGGACAGACCGGATGCCTCACAGCCCCAGGCTGCAGCAATCGCTGACACTCCATGAGCCTCCAACTGTCCTTCACGCTATTGTGTTTGGCCTGTGTTCTTTTATGGGTGACCTTAGAAGTCACACGAAGGGATGAGGACTCCTGTGAGCACTGAGGATGGACTGATGGCCCAGAGAAGAGTAGCTACGGGTCCAAGATCACTCAGCAAGTCTTAGACAAGAGTTGGGCTCCTAGCTCTAGCCCCAGCGTTGTGATCAGAGCCGGGAAGAATGTCCCCTACAAAGCAAATGTCATCTGAGCTGGTTGAGTGATGGTACCAGCTCTCAAAGGCACAAGGAGGCTGGATGGGCTCTGCCCAAGAGCCATCATGTCCAACCTGGTGTGACGTCACTCTTGGAAAGGCAGAGCTGTCTGTGGCCTGACCTGGCCTTTGTCCATCTATGCACTGTGTGACCTGCTCCTCTGGGCTTCACTTCCACACTCTGCCCTCTCGTGAAACACTGCTTGTCTACTATTCCTGCTGAGGCCTCGAAGGGCAAGGAGCAAGGGACTTCTTATCCCACCATTCCCAAACAGCCACACTCAGAGACTGCGGGGAAGCCAGCCCTAAACCACGTGTGGCAGGTTTGTGAGGTTCCAGACCGGCCCCTCTGTGAGCAGGTGCCATGCTTGTCGGCATAAATGAGTTCTGGCTGTCACAAGTGGCACAGCCTCGGCACCTTCAACCCCACCTTTCCAGGGTTCCCCTCAAGGCAAGTGCTAGTAGAAGAATGTGTACAAAGGTGACAAAATGGCATGGACCAAACATTTGTGATACAGAGCAGTTCTGCAACCCTGATGCTGGAGGGTGAGCAGCTAAGCCGTATAACAAGGGTAGGGGTGCTGGCACTCAATATGTGAGGACGTGACAAAGGTCACAGGGCTCAGGATGCTGTTTGCCTCTTGGGGAGTAGGAAATGTAGGCCAGTGATGGTCCTTCAGGATTCCAACCCTGTAGCATCAGCACGGCACTGTGTGGGGACAACCGGGCAAGCATAAGAGACAACCACCGGGTGGGGTGGGGTGTAGAGCCAGAAATGGGTGCTGGTTATAGGTGACACTGGGAAGTACAGATGAGACGGGGCCTCAAGTGCGATGGGGACCGGGGTTGGGGGACCCAGGTAAGGTAGGGTGGGGAAGAAGTCAAGTGGGTTGGAGCAGAAGTGAGGTGGAAGGGGCAGAGGTGAGATGCATGGGGCAGGGGTGCATGGACAGGGTACAAGCAAGGTGAAACAAGGTGGGCAGGGTGCCCGTGAGGTGTCAGGGCACAGCTGAGTCCACGCTAGAGACCCCTGGACTGCTTATGAGCTGCCTTGGGATTGCTTGCAAACACTTGCAAAAACGCTCCGATGTACACTCACCGTCTAGGTGAGCAAAACAGGCAGAGCACCTCCACACTGGGAGGAACACATTAGGAACCACAGCGAAGTCCTCACCCACCAAGTTCCAGATGGGGCAGTGCTGAAGGTGGCCCAGGTGGAACAAGGAGCAGAGGAGGTGCTTTCCTTGACTCGGCACACTGCATGGCGGACACGGCGGGACCGGCGCCAGCCTTCAGCCTCTGGCCACACTGTTTCTTCCTCCTGCTCATAGAGGTGCTGGCCCTTGCAGTTCAAGGATTCCAAGTGTGGATCCTCTGAAGAATCAGAGCCTGGGGAGGACGCATCCTGCCTCCGGGATGCGGACTAGTCAGCCTGAAGTGGGGGGGGCTCCTGGTGTTACCTAAGCAGAAAGGGGTGTAAGTTACCTTTCTTGTTGCTGTAACAAAATGTTAGACAAAAGCACCTCACAGAAGAAAGGGTTTACTTGGCTCACAGTTTGAGGGTACGGTCTGTCATGGTGAACACGTGGCCGCACGAGTGCTGGCTGTATTCTTTCCGTGGTCAGGAAGCAGAGGGATGGATGGCTGCTTTCTCCTTTTCATTCATTCCAGGATCCTAAGCGGTGGAACGCTGCTGTTCACATTTAGGCTGTGTTTTCTCTTCTCAATTAAACCTTTCTGGAAACACCCTAATGACATGGCCAGAATTTTGTCTTCTTGGTGATGGTGAATCCCACCAGGCTGACAATACCATCTCAAGTCCACCCCTTGTCAATTTGACACTCAAACACATCACTTTTAAAGCGTAACATTCTGACCTTGGAAAGCCTCATGTTCATTTCATAAAGCAATATGCATTTAGCCTGTCTTCTAGAACTTGCAAACTCTTCACGGTTCTAATTAACGCGCCTCCCACCCTCCCAAGGGGTAAGTGCAGAGACTCTGCTGAGTCTCGGGCAATCTAACTGTGAGCTCCTGTGAAATTAAAAAACAAATAAACAAAGTAAACCACAAGCTACATACTTCTAATATGCAATGGTACAGAATAAGTGATCCGATTTCAAAACTGAGGGGTGGGACAGGGGAAGGAGACTGGACTTGCTGTTCTTACAGAGGACCCCAGACTGCAGCACCCACGTCAGGTGATTCACAGTTGCCTGCAGCTTCCGTTCCAGGGGATCTGACGCCCTCTTGTGGCCTCTGTAGGTACCCACATGTATGTAAACACAAATGCACATACACAAATGAAAAAAGAAGTCTTCAAATATGAGGATTAGAGGCGCAACAAAGTAGGCCTGAACCAAAGGGAAACCGTATCCTAGCAAGATAAATGCCAAATCTTGACCTGGGCTGCAGTGGTATCACCTGGGATTGCTTGCAACAGCCTTGGACAGTTTCTCTCCTCCACTTCATACAGAGACACTCCATACAGAGACATCTCACAGGCCTGGCATCTCCAATATCGTGAAGATATTACAACTCTAGGCTCTACCTTCACACAATGGACTTTCATATTTAACCACAACAGACATTGTCTGGCCTCAGCTGCTTTCTAGGGTCTCCCAAAGTAATATAAGCCCCCCAAGCCTGGAAACTCTTGCATCTTGCATGCCTACCTGCAGAATGAGCACTAAGGTCTGCTTCAGGCTCCAGATGTAGTCTGGCTTCCTTTTTCCACAGACATAGGGGCTCTTGTGCCGGGGTGGCTGAATCAGGAAACGCTTGCCTAGGGGGTTGTTCTCAGGCAGGAAACCTCAGCATCTTCACCAGCTAGGCTCCCTCCTTTCAAATGGATTTGCCATCTCAAGGTGGAGCCTTCCATGGTGGAATCTTTCATTCAGGATACCTAGCGGTGTGCTTAGGTTTCTCCTTAAGGGTGTCAATGTCTTTAACAATGGCTGCTTTCCCGGCCAGAACACTGGCTTCTTCCCTCCGTCCCGGGGAAGAAAGGTCAGCTTCCCACACAGCTTGCTGCAGGCTAGTCTGGGTGTTGGAATCATAATTCATCCTTCATAGTGCAAACTGCGGCAGCGAGAGAGAGTACACCTGCCTGAAGTGGCACCATGAGTGAGGGCGCCAGCTGGGGCTCACTTCCTGGTCACCCACTTGTTCACTTCTGCCACACATCCTGAGAGCCAGCCTAATGGAGGAGTGTTGAACCAAAGTTTTTTTTTTTTTCTTTCTATGCATGCTCCAGCTCCCAAACGATGAGACGGAGACCTAGTACATTTAACAACACACTTTAGACCACTACAACCGTTCAGATGTTGTTCGATTCTGCCTACTTCCCAGCCATGTGCCCCACGCTGCTTGCCCTCAAGTCTCACCCCAGCCACTCCTGCTCCACCTTTGTTCTCGGCAACTTTTCATGGCCCATTGCCTCTCATGGCCCAGCAACCACCTCCTTCTCCTATCTCCCCACCCCCACCTGGGACCCCAGACTGGGAACGGAAGTCCCACCCACTGTGTCCTCCACCCAGCCATAGGCTCTTCAGCTTTTTTATTAACCAATCAGAGATAACTGTGGAGTAATTTTTACACAACGATGAGACAGAGGATTCCTCAACAGCGATGGCACTAGCAGAATCTGTTAGCATTTAGCTCACTGCCAGGCTCAGTAATTAGCGGTACAGAGACACGCCTCAAGACGACGAGTGTGAAGGCCACCTCTACAGGGGAGTGGACATGCTGGATGCCAGCTGGGCTTCTGGGATCAGAGGTTGGATATTATCCGTGGTGCTGGCCCTGCCACCCTTCCACCCTTGTTTTCTCCTGCTGACCCTGTCTCCGCTGGCCTCCCATTTCAAGCACACGCTCAACCTCCCAGCCTGCAGAACCAGCTGGCCTCCTGCCACCTCAGGGCCTTTGCACCTGTTGCTGCCTGTCCTGGCATTGACAGCCCTCTTCCTATGAGACCCTATTTGGCCTCCAGTGAGAGCCCTAGCCCTGGTGTAGCCCTGGTCCTCCCACCTTCCTGTTTGAACTCTTAACTCTGTTATTTATTCTAGTGCTCCATGTGAAACTGGAGCAGCAAGAATGGGCTGGGATGGCTCAGAAGGTAAAAATGTCCCCTCTGAGGACCTGAGTTCATAGCTTCAGATCCCACAGAAGAGCCTGGCATGGCAGAGCCCTGAGTACATCTGTAATCAAAGTGCTGGGATGGGCAGAGAGAAAGAGACAGATCCCTGAACCTCACTGGACAGCCCGCCTAGCCACGCTAATGAACTCCAGATTCAGTGGGAGACCCTGTCTCAAAAAATGAGGTACACAGAGATTGATGAAGACACCTGATATTGACCTCTGACCTCCACATTGGGGACCACACACACACACACATATGCACACATACATATATACATGCATACATACATAAATACAAAACACACACATACATGCATTTGCAGCCTCCAAGCAGAGCCTGGCATACAACAGGAGCTCAGTGAATATCCGCAAGCCGCTTGGAAAAGCTCAATGTGGTCCCTCAACACTTTGGACCTGGAATCCTCAGTGTGAAGATGGAAAAAAAAAAAGAGAGAGAGAGAGAGCGACTGCCCAAGGTTGAGGATCCCCATGTCCCCTGCCTCAGCCAGGGTTCCCAAGGCATCAGAGACAGCTTTTGCTCACACAGCAACTTCTACTGTAGAGATGGGGAAAATGAGTCTCAGACAGCCACCATACCCTAGCACAAGATAGACAGGAGTTTGGACTCTGGGTCAGACTCCAGATGTGCCTGCATCTCACTCTTCCATGGAAGCAGCAGGGCTGGACCAGTGCCTGAAGCTCCCAAATTCTAGGTCTTCCAGAATGCTGCCCACCAACCCTCTCTGCCTTTAGGGTTTGGGCATTAAAGCACCAGTTGCTCCAAGACTTCTCTTGCTGTCCTTTAGCGACCAGTCAAGGCAGCGGCTGTCAGGGGCAGGGAAGTGCTCGCCTTTGTCTAGATAGACAGGTCTCAGGGGTGTGGCAGGGAGAAGCCTGGGCCAAGCTGGCAGTCATGGAGGCTGCTGCATGGCAACCCCACGGCTGGATCCTTCAATGGCCACCTTGAACTGTCTTCCTTGCAGGGTTCCTCGTGGGCATGGGTGAGACCAGCTGTCCATGGGTGGGGTCTAAGCCTGTCCACCCTTCTCAGCATTGCAAGGCAGTCCTCCAACAGGCCATGGCTGCTCACCCATAACACGTCTCCCATGCTCATCCATCACTACATATGAAACATTCCTAGGGGGAAGACTGAGAGAAAGGATCCACCCAGACAACAGGCTCCTTCTCCCAAACCAGGGCTCCACCTCTTGCTCGGTGTCATGATGCCAGGGCTTCAGGTCTGGGTGGGACAGGTGGGAGGCAGCCAGATCACAGCAGACTTTGGGAAATGAGCAGCCCCCACCATTCTACACATTCCAGACCATAATGCCAGGCCTCCTTGGCCCACCCAGCCCAGGAATCTCTGAGTTGGATGCCTGCTCCCAGGTAGGAACAGCCTCCTGCAAACCTTGGGAAATCTGCCTCCTAACCACCAAATGGACAAGGTATGGTCCCACAGCAACCCTGGACCATCACCCACCCTATCAGTTTGCCCTTGGTCTAGGGGATTTAAAGACCTCTGCCCGCTGGGACGTAAGGAACCCATGCTCAGAAGTTGCCTTGGATAGGAGCATTGCCCAGATATCTCTGAGGATGGTACCCATCCTCTCTGGAATCTTTGTTTCCTCTGTGCTTTACTTCCCTGCTTGCCAAGCCAAGAATGTGCTGGCCAGGGATTGGACTCAGCCATCTCTGACCAGTGGGGGCAAGACACAGGACAGCAGGAGACTGTGCCAACAGGTCGCAGGAACAAGAATTATCTCAGAGAAGAAGTAGGGGCTAGGGAGGAGGGAGGGGTTTATGGGGGGATGCAAAGTGAATAAAGTGTAACTAATAAAAATTAAAAAATATATAGAAGAAAAAAAAGAAGTAGGGACTGGGATGTGTCACTGAACCCCGAATTCTGGGAAAGTCAGGAGCATGCTAAGACATGAGCTCCCTGCCTTGCATCCATTACCTGTGTGGATAATATCCACAAGTATCCAGTTCACTCAGTCCCAGGGCTTGGCTCATGGTGGCCTTGTGACTCAAAATGGAGAGTACTACAACCATGGGAAGAGGAAGCTACCCAAGAGTTTAGGCCATTTTGGAATCAGGAGGAAGACATTCTCATGGAGTTCCAAGCAGAGACAGGCTTGGAGACAGAGAGCAGGGACAGGCTGACCTATGATTTCACCTCAGGCAGAGACACCAGAACTTCAATGGTCTATTAAATCAGACCTCCTACAGCTGACCTGCCCTACACGGCAGCTGCCAACACCCAATGTCTGTTAGAATCTCTTGCCGTGCCCACATTTCCCAGAACCCAGAACCCAGGCTCACAGCCCTTCAGAGAGGGATGAGGCCCTTTCTCTCCTGTCGGGGCCACACCCACCCTCCAGGAAGCTTAATCTTTGGGCCCAACAACCCACAAAACACTACCACCCCCCTTTTCTCATGAGTCTCCATGCCAAAAAGGGGCTAGGCTTTCCCTTTCTGTTTTTTTGTTTGTTTTTGGTTTGGTTTGGTTTTGAGACAGGGTTTCTCTGTGTGGCCTTGGCTGTCCTAGACTTGCTTTGTAGACCAGGCTGGCCTTTAACTCACAGAGATCTACCTGCTTCTGCCTCTCTGAGTGCTGGGATTACAGGTGTGTACCACTGTATCTGGCTGGGTTTCCCTTTTTTTTTTTTTTTATCAAAATTCAAAAATGGGTGCTGGAAAGATGGCTCAGAGGTTAAGAGCACTGTCTGTACTTTCAAGGGTCCTAAGTTCAATTCCCAGCAACCGCATGGTGGCTCAAACCATCCATAATGAGAACTAGTGCCTTCCTCTGGTATGCAGGCACACATACAGTAGAATACTGTATAAATAATAAATAAAGAATATATTTTTTAAAACCTCAAAATGTAAATTATTACCTCCTTTGAAGAAATGCAACTCCTTTCTCCAAAGGATAAC